GGTGCCAGGAACCCTCCAGCATCTTCCCCCTCTTCAGGGAGCTGTCTCTGCCTGGAAAGGCTTTCTGGTGACTCCAGGCTTCAGCAGCAGTCCCGGTGCTGGCTGCTGTGAGCATGAGCTCAGCGCTGCAGCGGCTGTCATGGGCCGGCTGCCCATCGTGGGGCCGCTTGATTGGCAAACATCTGAGCAGAGCAGGGTGAAGCCAGAGGGTCCCCTGAGGTCGAATCCCTGCTGCTGCTCCCCAATAACCCCCTGTCAGGACAGGAACATCCTCAGCCACCCCGGCAGGGCAAGCAGGCTGGGCGTTGCGTGGTGTGGGATCTTCAGCATATGAGGGCAGGTGAGAGCAGCCAGAGGGGACCTGGGACCCCTGTCCTGAGCTTGGTGGCTGTGTCCCCTGTCCTGAGCTTGGTGGCTGTGTGCCACCCTCGGGCACCGTTGCCTCCTCGCTGCACCACTCTCAGGGTTTTCCTCACTTGGCACGACCACAGTGGAGTCAGGATGAGCACAGGATGTTCCTGCTGCTGCGTGTCTGAGGGGACGGACAGAGAGCAGCTCTGCAGGGCATGACAGGCGTGCAGGTGGTGGCAGCGCGCCTGCGAGCTGGAGACCGCGGAGACAGCCCTGGGGCGGTGGCAAGGAGGCAGCTTTCCCCGCTGTCCCTTGCCTCTATCTCCCCTGGCTGTTCTCCCAGCATTAGCTCTACATTCCCTCCCGCTTTGTCCTCTGCCTCTTCCCTGTGCCCTCCGTCCAGGCTCTGCTCCCAGCATCGGCTCTCCCTGGCTGGAGTGGCTGGCCAGCTCTGCCGGGCTATGGGAAGAGGCTGGCTGAATCCCACACGGTGCTCCGAACGGCCGTCGTCTTGCCATTAGCACCTTGCCTGCCGCACCCGCGCCCGGGCAAGGGGGGAGTCCTTATGTGACGGGACTGCAGTGGGCTAGAAGGAATGTGCCTCAGCACTGGGGTCCCCGCGGGCAGAGCCGAGGTGCCACCTCCTCGCAGGTGCTGTCACGGAGCTGAGAGGAGCATTGGCTTTGGGTGCCGGGGGTCTGTGCTGGGTGAGCACCGTGGAGCCCGTGGGCACCCCTTGCCTCCCCGCAGCCAGGGCTCAGCCCATGCTCCCCACCCTCCCCGGGTACGTGCCTGCTCGTGGTATTGAACGATGTCCTGTAAAACCAGAGCCTTTAATTGTCTTCTCCAGCAGAGTGCAAAATGGAAAGGGCGCCTTTAAATAATTTTAGGCCTTAAGGAGCCTTCTCGTGCTATCCCGGCAGCCTCCAGGCTTTCCCAACTGCTCCAAGCTGTGCAGCCAGGCTTGGATGATTAATGAGTCTTTAAGGGACCCCAGGTGATAACGAGCAGGTCTCTTCCCTCGCAGCCTCTACCAACCTTTTACGAGCTGTAATATTAACCAATATAAAAGGAACAAGGTTTGTGCACAGTTTGGAGAGTTACTCCTCAAAGGGGAGTGGTGGGTGTTGAGATGTTGGGTGGTTTTTTGGAGAAGGTCTGTGTTGAAATGAAAGGTGGGACTGGGCTAGTATGTACTGCCGGGGGAGCAGCCAGCCTCCCTCCACGTCCACACCCTGATCTGCAAAGCATCCCCTTTTGGCATGGTCTGACCTGTGACAGCAGCCCATATAGTCTAGATAGGAAAAGAGACATAGATTTTCTTTTTTTAAATTTTTTTTTTTTTCTTACTGTCACACACCAAGCCGCTGGGGGTACTAAGAAGGTCCAAGAGCACCAAACCCATCCCAGATTCGGAGAGGGACTGGGGAGAGGCAGCACATCAGTCATCAGGACCCTGTGTCCCCAGCGTTAGCTGTCTCTAGCCAGCTGGAAATACAAGTGAGGGGAGCTGTAGGCACATGGGCCCATAGCCTTTAGGAGCTGGGCTTTAGCTGGGTTGGTTTTAATCCCTTCTCCCTGTATTTATGGCTGTCTTTCCGACTGACGCAGCTCAGCATGCCTGTCCTGGGTACGTGGTACTGTGGGTGAGTGCCTGCTGGGGGTGCTGGCATGGGCAGGGGTCTGTGCAGGGGGGCTCAGGCAGAGCAGGAGGAACCGGCCGTCCTTAGGGAGCCTCTGCCTTGGCAGGGCCAGCGGGACACCTCCCTGGCACTTGTGGGACACGATGAGCGCACTGGCACAATGTCAGTGACACTGAGGGCTCCAGACGAGGCTTTTAGGTGTAAAACCAGTTTAGAATCTCTATAGCCTGGAACCAGCTGGTGTGTTTGCTCAGGCTGACGAAGCATTCAGTGCAAA